GCTGGTGACGCACGGATCCACCTCTACGCAGACGACACCATTTTGTATACATCTGGCCCTTCATTGGACACTGTGTTAACAAACCTCCAAACGAGCTTCAATGCCATAAAACATAGCCCCCGTAGCCTCCAACTGCTCTTAAACACTAGTAATACTAAATGCATGCTCTTCAACCGAACGCTGCTTGCACCCGCCCACCCGACTAGAATCACTACTCTCGGCGGGTCTGACCTAGAGTATGTGGACAACTACAAATACCTAGGTGTCTGGTTAGACTCTCCTTCCAGACTCACATTAAGCATCTCCAATCAAAAGTTGGATCTAGAATCGGCTTCCTATTTCGCAACAAAGCCTCCTTCACTCATGCTGCCAAACATGCCCTCGTAAAACTGACTATCCTACGATCCTTGACTTCGGCGATGTCATTTACAAAATAGCCTCCAACACTCTACTCAGCAAATTGGATGTAGTCTATCACAGTGCCATCCGTTTTGTCTCCAAAGCCCCATATACTACCCACCATTGTGACCTGTACGCCCTTGTTGGCTGGCCCTCACTACATATTCGTTGCCAAACCCACTGGCTCCAGGTCATCTATAAATCACTGCTAGGCAAATCCCCGTCTTATCTTAGCTCACTGGTTACCATAGCAACACCCACCCGTAGTCTGCGCTCCAGCAGGTATATCTCACTGGTCATCCCCAAAGCCAACACCTCCTTTGGCCGCCATTCCTTCCAGTTCTCTGCTGCCAATGACTGGAACGAACTGCAAGAATCTCTGAAGCTGGAGACTCTTATCTCCCTCACTAACTTTAAGCGTCAGTTGTCAGAGCAGCTTACCGATCACTGCACCTGTACACAGCCCATCTGTAATTAGCCCACCCAACTACCTCATCCCCATATTGTTATTTATTTTGCTCATTTGCACCCCAGTATCTCTATTTGCACATCATATTTTGCACATCTATCATTCCAGTGTTAATTACGAAATTGTAACTATTCATAACTTACTACATTTGCACACACTGTATATATATTTTCTGTTGTATTTTTTGACTTTATGTTTTGTTTTACCCCATATGTAACTCTTGTGTTGTTGTTTTTAATCGCACTGCTTTGCTTTATCTTGGCCAGGTTGCAGTTGTAAATGAGAACTTGTTCTCAACTGGTTTACCTGGTTAAATAAAGGTTAAATAAAAATACAAAATGTGAGCCATGACCAGCCTTTCAAAGCATTTCATGGCTACAGGGCGATTAGTCATTTAGACAAGTTACCTTGGCGTTCTTGGGCACAGAGACTGTGGTGGTCTGCTTGAAACATGTAGGTATTACAGACAGGGTCAGGGAGAGGTTGAACATGTCAGTGAAGACACTTGTCAGCTGGTCAGACCATGCTCTGAGTATGTATCCTGGTAATCCATCTGGCCCTGAGGAATGTTAATGAATGTGAACGTTAACTTCTTAAGTATCGGACCCTTTTTTTTCAATTGTTCCCTAAAATGACATACCCAAATCTAACTGCCTGTAGCTCAGGACCTGAAGCAAGGATATGCTTCAGGTACCATTTGAAAGGAAACACTTTGAAGTTTGTGGAAATGTGAAATGAATGTAGGAGAATATAACACATTACATCTGGTAAAAGATAATACAAACAAAAAAACATGCGTTTTCTATATTTTTTGTTCCATCATCTTTGAAATGCAAGAGAAAGGCCTCAATATAATATTGCAGTTTAGGCGCAATTAAGATTTTGGCCAATAGATTGCAACAGTGTGTGCAAAGTTTCAGATTGATCCAGTGAAGCATTGCAATACTGGACTATTTTGTATCAAATCTGCCCAAATGTGCCGAATTGGTCAATTGATATATTTTCAAGTATATATCTATAGAGAACATACAAAAATGATATGGTAATACAAAATGTAAGTTTACACACTCCCAGGAATGTCATTCATGATGGATCATTAGCTTATACACTAACTTTCACACATCTAGATGGCCGGGCGGGGTGGGTGTGGAGCCAGAGACAGCAGGGGTTCAAACTGTAGAACCCAGTTCCTACATTTGAATATACACATTTATTTTATCAAACAAAACTATGCTACATTTTATCTCTGGGACCCTTAGGATGACAAATCGGAGCAAGATTACTGAATGTAAGTACATTATTTACCTTCAGAGGTGAATGTATCAAACCAGTTGCGGTGATGACTTTTTTGTTGTTGTGCACTCTCCTCAAACAATAGCATGGTCTTTTTTCACTGTAATAGCTACTGTAAATTTGACAGTACTGTTAGATTAACAATAATTTTATATTTCTGCCCATATAAGACATGTCTATGTCCTGGAAAGTTTGCTGTTACTTACAACAGCCATGCTAATCACATTAGTGCACGTTAGCTCAACCGTCCCGTATATGGGACACCGATCCCTAACCTGTTTAAAGGTATTACTCACATCGGCTATGAAGAGCGTGATCACACAGTCATCCGGAACAGCTGGTGCTCTCATGCATGGTTCAGTGTTGCTTGCCTCAAAGCGAGCATAGAAGGCATTTAGCCTGTCTGGTAGGCGAGGAAGAGCTTTGGGAGAGCTTTGAATGCATTTCTATGTGTGGAGTAAAGGTGATCTAGAGTTTTTCACATCTAGTTGCACAGGTGACATGCTGGTAGAAATTAGGTAAGACTGATTTTAGCTTCCCTGCATTAAAGTCCCCGGCCACCAGGAGCGCCACCTCTGGATGTGCATATTGTTGTTTACTTATGGCCTTACACAGCTCGTTCAGTGTGGTCTTAGTGCCAGCATCAGTTTGTGGTGGTACATAGACCGCTACGAAAACTATACAGTACCAGTCAAAAGTCTGGACACACCTACTCATTCAAGGGTTTTTCTTTATTTTTTACTATTTTCTACATTGTAGAATAATCGTGAAGACAAACTATGAAGTAACACATATGGAATCATGTAGTAACCAAAAAAGTGTTAAACAAATCAAAATATAATAAATAAATAATAATAAATAAAATATATTTTATATTTGAGATTCTTCAAATAGCCACCCTTTGCCTTGATGACAGGCCTCCTGTAGCTCAGTTGGTAGAGCATGGCGCTTGCGGGTTCGATTCCCACGGGGGGCCAGTATGAAAAATGTATGCACTCACTAACTGTAAGTCGCTCTGGATAAGAGCGTCTGCTATATGACTAAAATGTAAATGTAATGACAGCTTCACCAGGAATGCTTTTCCAACAGTCTTGAAGGAGTTCCCACATATGCTGAGCACTTGTTGGCTGTTTTTCCTTCACTCTGCGGTCCAACTCATCCCAAACCATCTCAATTGGGTTGAGGTCGGGGGATTGTGGAGGCCAGGTCATCTAATGCAGCACTCCATCACTCTCCTTCTTGGTCAAATAGCCCTTACACAGCCTGGAGGTGTGTTTTGGGTCATTGTCCTGTTGAAAAACAAATAATAGTCCCACTAAGCCCAAACCAGATGGGATGGCGTATCGCTGCAGAATGCTGTGGTAGCCATGCTGGTTAAGTGTGCCTTGAATTCTAAATAAATCACAGACAGTGTCACCAGCAAAGCACCCCCACACCATAACACGCCCTCCTCCATGCTTTACAGTGAGAACTACACGTGGAGATCATCCGTTCACCCACACCGCGTCTCACAAAGACACGGCAGTTGGAACCAAAAATCTCACATTTGGACTCCAGACCAAAGGACACATTTCCACCGGTCTAATGTCAATTTCTCGTGTTTCTTGGCCCAAGCAGGTCTCTTCTTCTTATTGGTGTCCTTTAGTAGTGGTTTCTTTGCAGCAATTCGACCATGAAGGCCTGATTCACACAGTCTCCTCTGAACAGTTGATGTTGAGATGTGTCTGTGACTTGAACTCTGTGAAGCATTTATTTGGGCTGCAATTTCTGAGGCTGGTAACTCTAATGAACTTATCCTCTGCAGCAGAGGTAACTCTGGGTCTTCGATTCCTGTGGCGGTCCTCATGAGAGCCAGTTTCATCATAGCGCTTGATGGTTTTTGCAACTGCACTTGAAGAAACTTTCAAAGTTCTTGAAATGTTCCATATTGACTGACCTTCATGTCTTAAAGTAATGATGGACTGTCATTTCTCTTTGCTTATTTGAGCAGTTCTTGCCATAATATGGACTTGGTCTTTTACCAAATAGGGCTATCTTCTGTATACCCCCCTACCTTGTCACAACACAACTGATTGGCTCAAACGCATTAAGAAGGAAAGAAACTCCACAAATTAACTTTTAAGAAGGCACACCTGTTAATTGAAATGCATTCCAGGTGACTACCTCATGAATCCGGTTGAGAGAATGCCAAGAGTTTGCAAAGCTGTCATCAAGGTTCAGGGTGGCTACTTTGAATATAAAATATATTTTGATTTGTTTAACACTTTTTTGCTTTCCATATGTTTTATTTCATCGTTTTGTAAAAAAATAAAGAAAAACCCTTGAATGAGTAGGTGTGTCCACACTTTTGACTGGTAGTGTAGATTAACTCTCTTGGTAAACAGTGTGGTCTACAGCTTATCATGAGGTAATCTAACTCAGGTGAGCAGAACCTCCAGACTTCCTTAACATTAGAGATCGCGCTCCAGCTGTTGTTAACAAAGAGACACACACCTCCCCCTTAACCTTACCTGGAGCTGTCTCGTCAGGGGGCCCGCTCGTTTGCCCCTCTAGTCCCGGAAATTAGGGCCTGGTCTGGAATGAGCAGTCATACCACAGCTGCTGTTCTAATGCCCAGAAGCTGTTTTCGGTCATAGGAAACGATGGTGGAAATATTAGGTACAAAAAATGTTAAAATCAGCGTGAAAACCCCCCACACAAAATAGCAGAATCCACTGCAGCGACATCTTGACCTGACCTAATTAAAGTTGTAGTAAGAGAGATCCATTAGGCTGGACACTTTTCTAAGGTGTTGGCAACAGAGCAGAAACAGACTATTACTACTGCCTCTGCCAAGAAGACTGGCCTGTATGGCACAGGTCGTACTATATTGCACTCACCTCTAACCACAGGGTAGCTGGTTCAAGCTCCACCTTGATGCCTCTGCTGTCCTGTTGTTTCAGGGAAGTCACTGAAGGAGATGGAGGAGAGTCTGTCCAGCTTTGGAATCAAACAGGGATGTAAACTCATGATGATTGGGAAGAGGGTAAGACCTTCGTAGTTCTGCTGTCTGACTGGCACTCACTCATTTGTTTATTCATTCGGTCAATCATTCATTTGTTCGTTCATTCATTCCTAAAATGGTTTGAATACAGACCTGTGTGTTGTCTCCTCTCAGAACAGCCCAGAGGAGGAGTCCGAGCTGAAGAAGTTGAAGGACATTGAGAAGTCAGTAGAAGAGACTGCTAAGAAACTGGAGAAGGTGGATGGAGAGCTGACAGGCCTGAAGAATGTATGTTCTGATACTTTATATCTACATATATATTTTTGTTGTTACAACCTGAATTTAAAATTACTTAAATTAAGATGTAGTGTCACTGATCTACACACAATACCCCATGTCATTTTACATTTACATTTTAGTCATTTAGCAGACGCTCTTAACCAGAGCGACTTACAGGAGCAATTAGGGTTAAGTGCCTTGCTCAAGGGCACATTAACGTCATTTAGCAGAAGCTCTTAGCCAGAGCGACTCACAAATTGGTGCGTTCACCCTATAGCCAGTGGGATAACCACTTTACAAGTCAAAGTGACATTTTGTTTGTAGAATGTTAAAAAAATTGATAAAACATTTCAAGTATTCAACCCCCTTTGTTATGGCAAGCCTAAATAAGTTCAGGAGTTTTGAATGACTACCCCATCTCTGTACCCCACACATCTGTAAGGTCCCTCAATCGAGTAGTGAATTTCAAGCACAAATTCAACCACAAAGACCAGGGAGGCTTTTCAATGCCTCAGAAAGAATGGCACCTATTGGTAGGTGTGTAGAAAACAAAAAAACAAAGCAGACGCTGAATATCCCTTTAGCATGGTGAAGTTATGACACTTTGGATGGTGTATCAATAAACCCAGTCAATACAAAGGTACAGGCGTCCTTCCTAACTCAGTTGCCGGAGAGGAAGGAAACCGATCAGGGATTTCACCATGAGGCCAATGGTGACTTTAAAACAGAGTTTAATGGCTGTGATGGGAGGGAACAGAGGATGGATCAACATTGTAGTTATTCCACAGTACTAACCTCATTGACAGTGAAAATAAGGATATTCTAAAACATGCATCCTGTTTGTAACAAGCCACTAAAGTAATACTGCAAAAAATGTCGCAAAGAAATTAACTTTTAGTCCTGAATACAAAGCATTATGTTTGGGGCAAATACAACACATCACTGAGTACCACTCTTTTTATTTTGACGGTGACTGCATCACGTTATGGGTATGCTTGTCATCGGCAACGACTACTGAGTTTTTTAGGATAAAATAAACGGAATACAGCTATAAGCACAGGCTAAATCCTCGAGGAAAACCTGGTTCAGTGTGCTTTACAACAGACACTGGGAGATGAATTCACCTTTCAGCAGGACAATAACCTAAAACACAAGGTCAAATCTACACTGGGTTGCTTACCAAGACGACATTGAATGTTCCTGAGTGGCCTAGTTACAGTTTTGACAAGTCAAGACTTGAATGATCAGCAATCAACTTGACAGAGCTTGAAGAATTTTAAAGATTAATGTGCAAATATTGTAAAATCCAGGTGTGCAAAGCTCTTAGAGACTTACCCCAAAAGACTCACAGCTGTAATCACTACCAAATGTGCTTCTACAAAGTAAATTAGATATTTCTGTATTTCATTTTGAATACATTTATAAAAATGTCTGAAAACATGTTTTCAATTTGCCATTATGTGGATGGGTGAGATCAACAAAACATTTTTTAGATCCATTTTGAATTCAGGCTGAAACAACAAAATGGAATAAGTCAAGGGGTAAGAATACTTTCTGAAGGCACTGTAGGGTTAGGGTTAGGGTTATATACATGAATATATATACTAGGGTTAGGGTTATATACATGAATATATATACTAGGGTTAGGGTTATATACATGAATATATATACTAGGGTTAGGGTTATATACATGAATATATATACTAGGGTTAGGGTTATATACATGAATATATATACTAGGGTTAGGGTTATATACATGAATATATATACTAGGGTTAGGGTTATATACATGAATATATATACTAGGGTTAGGGTTATATACATGAATATATATACTAGGGTTAGGGTTATATACATGAATATATATACTAGGGTTAGGGTTATATACATGAATATATATACTAGGGTTAGGGTTATATACATGAATATATATACTAGGGTTAGGGTTATATACATGAATATATATACTAGGGTTAGGGTTATATACATGAATATATAGATATACTAGGGTTAGGGTTATATACATGAATATATATACTAGGGTTAGGGTTATATACATGAATATATATACTAGGGCTGTGATGATACCAGTATCGCTATATTTCTTCCATATAAAAAATTAAAACACGAAGCTGACATTTTTTGTATGTAAAATATTATGTGCTATAGCTTGGGGAAAAAATACGTGACTCTGGATGACAACATAATTATGTTTGTTTCCTAAACAAGTTAAGTCCGCTTTGTGTTTTGTTTCCTTGCCACAATACTAAGGAGTATCGCGATACTGGTATGGTCCCGGCCCTATTAAATACCAAAGCAGCACTCCCTATTCTACCCTGGCATCCTTACCAAACTAACTGAGACCCAGCAGTAGTGTTGGCACAGATAATGCCCAGAGGCTGCACTGGTCAGCACATACACAGGAAGGAGCTTTTCTTAGCCCTCTATTCTGTTACTGTTGTTCTATAGGGGTTCCTAGCTAAAGACCTGCAGGCCGAGGCGCTGGGGAGACTGGACCAAAGAGTGAAGGTGGCATCTGAACAGTTCATGAAGTTTCTAGAGCAGGTGGACTCTATGGTAACACAGCCCTAACCCTCCTACACCTAGTACTGGTCCCCCTAACCCTCCTACACCTAGTACTGGTCCCCCTAACCCTCCGACACCTAGTACTGGTCCCCCTAACCCTCCTACACCTAGTACTGGTCCCCCTAACCCTCCTACACCTAGTACTGGTCCCCCTAACCCTCCTACACCTAGTACTGGTCCCCCTAACCCTCCTACACCTAGTACTGGTCCCCCTAACCCTCCTACACCTAGTACTGGTCCCCCTAACCCTCCTACACCTAGTACTGGTCCCCCTAACCCTCCTACACCTAGTACTGGTCCCCCTAACCCTCCTACACCTAGTACTGGTCCCCCTAACCCTCCTACACCTAGTACTGGTCCCCCTAACCCTCCTACACCTAGTACTGGTCCCCCTAACCCTCCTACACCTAGTACTGGTCCCCCTAACCCTCCTACACCTAGTACTGGTCCCCCTAACCCTCCTACACCTAGTACTGGTCCCCCTAACCCTCCTACACCTAGTACTGGTCCCCCTAACCCTCCTACACCTAGTACTGGTCCCCCTAACCCTCCTACACCTAGTACTGGTCCCCCTAACCCTCCCTACACCTAGTACTGGTCCCCCTAACCCTCCTACACCTAGTACTGGTCCCCCTAACCCTCCTACACCTAGTACTGGTCCACCTAACCCTCCTACACCTAGTACTGGTCCCCTAACCCTCCTACACCTAGTACTGGTCCCCCTAACCCTCCTACACCTAGTACTGGTCCCCCTAACCCTCCTACACCTAGTACTGGTCCCCCTAACCCTCCTACACCTAGTACTGGTCCCCCTAACCCTCCTACACCTAGTACTGGTCCCCCTAACCCTCCTACACCTAGTACTGGTCCCCCTAACCCTCCTACACCTAGTACTGGTCCCCCTAACCCTCCTACACCTAGTACTGGTCCCCCTAACCCTCCTACACCTAGTACTGGTCCCCCTAACCCTCCTACACCTAGTACTGGTCCCCCTAACCCTCCTACACCTAGTACTGGTCCCCCTAACCCTCCTACACCTAGTACTGGTCCCCCTAACCCTCCTACACCTAGTACTGGTCCCCCTAACCCTCCTACACCTAGTACTGGTCCACCTAACCCTCCTACACCTAGTACTGGTCCCCCTAACCCTCCTACACCTAGTACTGGTCCCCCTAACCCTCCTACACCTAGTACTGGTCCCCCTAACCCTCCTACACCTAGTACTGGTCCCCCTAACCCTCCTACACCTAGTACTGGTCCCCCTAACCCTCCTACACCTAGTACTGGTCCCCCTAACCCTCCTACACCTAGTACTGGTCCCCCTAACCCTCCTACACCTAGTACTGGTCCCCCTAACCCTCCTACACCTAGTACTGGTCCCCCTAACCCTCCTACACCTAGTACTGGTCCCCCTAACCCTCCTACACCTAGTACTGGTCCCCCTAACCCTCCTACACCTAGTACTGGTCCCCCTAACCCTCCTACACCTAGTACTGGTCCCCCTAACCCTCCTACACCTAGGACTGGTCCCCTAACCCTCCTACACCTAGTACTGGTCCCCCTAACCCTCCTACACCTAGTACTGGTCCCCCTAACCCTCCTACACCTAGTACTGGTCCCCCTAACCCTCCTACACCTAGTACTGGTCCCCCTAACCCTCCTACACCTAGTACTGGTCCCCCTAACCCTCCTACACCTAGTACTGGTCCCCCTAACCCTCCTACACCTAGTACTGGTCCCCCTAACCCTCCTACACCTAGTACTGGTCCCCCTAACCCTCCTACACCTAGTACTGGTCCCCCTAACCCTCCTACACCTAGTACTGGTCCCCCTAACCCTCCTACACCTAGTACTGGTCCCCCTAACCCTCCTACACCTAGGACTGGTCCCCCTAACCCTCCTACACCTCTGTACTGGTCCCCCTAACCCTCCTACACCTAGTACTGGTCCCCCTAACCCTCCTACACCTAGTACTGGTCCCCCTAACCCTCCTACACCTAGTACTGGTCCCCCTAACCCTCCTACACCTAGTACTGGTCCCCCTAACCCTCCTACACCTAGTACTGGTCCCCCTAACCCTCCTACACCTAGTACTGGTCCCCCTAACCCTCCTACACCTAGTACTGGTCCCCCTAACCCTCCTACACCTAGTACTGGTCCCCCTAACCCTCCTACACCTAGTACTGGTCCCCCTAACCCTCCTACACCTAGTACTGGTCCCCCTAACCCTCCTACACCTAGTACTGGTCCCCCTAACCCTCCTACACCTAGTACTGGTCCCCCTAACCCTCCTACACCTAGTACTGGTCCCCCTAACCCTCCTACACGTATTTAGGCCTGCTCCTAAAGCAGGTGGACTCTATGGTAACACAACCTTATTAACAAACACACAGTTCTAGTCAGGTGGACTGGTAACACAGATCCCTCTAGTCAGGTGGACTGGTAACACAGATCCCTCTAGTCAGGTGGACTGGTAACACAGATCCCTCTAGTCAGGTGGACTGGTAACACAGATCCCTCTAGTCAGGTGGACTGGTAACACAGATCCCTCTAGTCAGGTGGACTGGTAACACAGATCCCTCTAGTCAGGTGGACTGGTAACACAGATCCCTCTAGTCAGGTGGACTTTATGGTAACACAGATCCCTCTAGTCAGGTGGACTGGGTAACACAGATCCCTCTAGTCAGGTGGACTGGTAACACAGATCCCTCTAGTCAGGTGGACTGGTAACACAGATCCCTCTAGTCAGGTGGACTGGTAACACAGATCCCTCTAGTCAGGTGGACTCTATGGTAACACAGATCCCTCTAGTCAGGTGGACTGGTAACACAGATCCCTCTAGTCAGGTGGACTGGTAACACAGATCCCTCTAGTCAGGTGGACTGGTAACACAGATCCCTCTAGTCAGGTGGACTGGTAACACAGATCCCTCTAGTCAGGTGGACTGGTAACACAGATCCCTCTAGTCAGGTGGACTGGTAACACAGATCCCTCTAGTCAGGTGGACTGGTAACACAGATCCCTCTAGTCAGGTGGACTGGTAACACAGATCCCTCTAGTCAGGTGGACTGGTAACACAGATCCCTCTAGTCAGGTGGACTGGTAACACAGATCCCTCTAGTCAGGTGGACTGGTAACACAGATCCCTCTAGTCAGGTGGACTGGTAACACAGATCCCTCTAGTCAGGTGGACTGGTAACACAGATCCCTCTAGTCAGGTGGACTGGTAACACAGATCCCTCTAGTCAGGTGGACTGGTAACACAGATCCCTCTAGTCAGGTGGACTGGTAACACAGATCCCTCTAGTCAGGTGGACTGGTAACACAGATCCCTCTAGTCAGGTGGACTGGTAACACAGATCCCTCTAGTCAGGTGGACTGGTAACACAGATCCCTCTAGTCAGGTGGACTGGTAACACAGATCCCTCTAGTCAGGTGGACTGGTAACACAGATCCCTCTAGTCAGGTGGACTGGTAACACAGATCCCTCTAGTCAGGTGGTGAGACTAGTAGGGGTAACACAGATCCCTCTAGTCAGGTGGACTGGTAACACAGATCCCTCTAGTCAGGTGGACTGGTAACACAGATCCCTCTAGTCAGGTGGACTGGTAACACAGATCCCTCTAGTCAGGTGGACTGGTAACACAGATCCCTCTAGTCAGGTGGACTGGTAACACAGATCCCTCTAGTCAGGTGGACTGGTAACCCCTGGCTACTGGTCTTATCACAGGGTGTCTTGACTCTGTAAACACTAAAACAACTGTCATGTTAACAGACTTTACCAGACAACTTCGGTGACTGTCGGATGAAGAAAAAGGGACTAGTAAAAAGAATTCAGGTGAGTCTGTTTCATTTCTGATTAACTCTCAATGAGAGTTCAAGTAGGTCCTTATTCCACTTGAGTAATATAAAACAATGCTGTTAATACGTTGTTGCTAGTTATTACAGGGTTACTACAAAGCAGCCGCAGGTCTAAGAATATCCTCTGTCTCCTCCTGTTCTTCCTCCAGGGGTTCCTGGCTCAGTGTGATAAGATCGAAGCAGGGATTTTAGACCACTTGGCTAAGATCCAGTCGAAGAACCTGGCCCTGGTAGATTCTTAGATCTACTAGTTCACACAGTTCTACTGAATGACCATCTGGGATCTCCTATGTCCATCTGTCTGCTGCTCCACATCTCTCTACCTACCAGCCCTCTCTGCTGCGGTCCTGCCCTGGTCTCCACTGGGATCGCTCTACCTACCAGCCCTCTCTGCTGTGGTCCTGCCCTGGTCTCCACTGGGATCTCTCTACCTACCAGCCCTCTCTGCTGTGGTCCTGCCCTGGTCTCCACTGGGTCACCATCTGGGATCTGGGGAAATCCATTTGATTTCAATTACTTTTTGACAGCATCCCTTTCGATTTGAACAAAACCTTCCATACATATTGGCCCATTGTAGATATGGTCAGAAAGGGGCTTTTGGGACCTGAATGCCAAAACACTGAAGACATAAAGGTGGTCAAAGTCGACCTATTATAAACCCTCTCTACCTAACCCTCTCTACCTAACCCTAACCCTCTCTACCTAACCCTAACCCTCTCTACCTAACCCTAACCCTCTCTACCTAACCCTAACCCTCTCTACCTAACCCTAACCCTCTCTACCTAACCCTAACCCTCTCTACCTAACCCTCTCTACCTAACCCTAACCCTCTCTACCTAACCCTCTCTACCTAACCCTAACCCTCTCTACCTAACCCTAACCCTCTCTCTAACCCTAACCCTCTCTCTAACCCTAACCCTCTCTCTACCTAACCCTCTCTCTACCTAACCCTCTCTACCTAACCCTCTCTACCTAACCCTCTCTACCTAACCCTCTCTACCTAACCCTAACCCTGACCCTCTCTACCTAACCCTGACCCACATGAAGAACATGTTGTGTCTCAACCGATGGCGGCACAACACAACCTCAGATTATGTCAAATAGGGTCTAAGCTACAACATGCGGTTTACACTTTGTTAGATCATTTATGTTAAAGGTTAAATAATGTCCACATTTTTATTAAAACATATTTTTTTCAAGAAAGTATTAAATAGTATGACAACCCTGTTTGTAAGCTTTTAAATGATATCAACCTCAACCGTTTATCCTTTCCAGTGATGAAGACATGGATGTCTCATGGTGTGGTGGGGAATGCAAAATGGATCAACTTTGACCACCTTTATCTCCTGAATGTTTTGGCATTCCGGTCCCAAATATCCCTTTCTGACCACTTCTTCCAGGGGTAAACGTATGAAAAGTTTTGTTTAAATCAAAAGGGATGCTGTCAAAAAGTGATAGAATTCAAATGGAGTTCCCCATCTAATAAATCTCCCAACATATCGATTGTCTCTCTATGCTGTGGCTCTGTCCTGGTCCGATGTTTCACTGAGCAACACTACGGTCTTCAGCCTGGAGCAGTTCTAACCCTCTAGTGGAACCCTATTCCTGCATAGTGCACTACTTTTGGACAGAGATGAGGCCCTGGCCAAAGCTAGGGCACTAAATAAGGAAAAGTGACTTTTATGAGCAGTTTAATGTATTTATTTAGCATGGCAACATGCAGCAGAGTACCCTCATAAGGACTGAGCCCTCCGTCTGTGTGGTGGGATGGAGAAGAGAACACTGACTGCTGCAGCCTCTTAACGATGTCCCCTGCCTTTGGTTCTCAGGGACTTAAGACAAGGTGCTGTGTATGTAGGATATTTTAACAAACAAAGTAAAAGTCCCAAATAAAATAATCCTACAGACTTTGAAAATATGTGGTGTTTGCTGATCTGTGTTGATATTATGAAGAGATGACTGATATTGAGCTGATGACTGATCCTGTATTGCTTTCCAGTGACAGGATGTGATGTCACTAATGGTCAGTCTGGCCAGTGACAGGATGTAATGTCACTAATGGTCAGTCTGGCCAGTGACAGGGTGTAATGTCACTAATGGTCAGTCTGGCCAGTGACAGGGTGTAATGTCACTAATGGTCAGTCTGGCCAGTGACCGGATGTAATGTCACTAATGGTCAGTCTGGCCAGTGACAGGATGTGATGTCACTAATGGTCAGACATACAGATAGATACCGGTTCCTGACTGCCTGGTGGAGCCATGATGTTTTAGGAGTCCTGCTGATTGATGTCACGCTGTGTGTAGTTTCAGATAAAAAGCTGTTGTGATTGTGTGAGCTATACAGGGTAGTCTGACTGACCTGGCACCCTATTCACTATAATATAGTGCACTAGCCCCCAGTATAATATAGTGCACTAGCCCCCAGTATAATATAGTGCACTAGCCCCCAGTATAATATAGTGCGCTAGCCCCCAGTATAATATAGTGCGCTAGCCCCCAGTATAATATAGTGCGCTAGCCCCCAGTATAATATAGTGCACTAGCCCCCAGTATAATATAGTGCACTAGCCCCCAGTATAATATAGTGCACTAGCCCCCAGTATAATATAGTGCACTAGCCCCCAGTATAATATAGTGCACTAGCCCCCAGTATAATATAGTGCACTAGCCCCCAGTATAATATAGTGCACTAGCCCCAAGTATAATATAGTGCACTAGCCCCCAGTATAATATAGTGCACTAGCCCCCAGTATAATATAGTGCACTAGCCCCCAGTATAATATAGTGCACTAGCCCCCAGTATAATATAGTGCGCTAGCCCCCAGTATAATATAGTGCGCTAGCCCCCAGTATAATATAGTGCACTAGCCCCCAGTATAATATAGTGCACTAGCCCCCAGTATAATATAGTGCACTAGCCCCCAGTATAATATAGTGCACTAGCCCCCAGTATAAAATAGTGCACTAGCCCCCAGTATAATATAGTGCACTAGCCCCCAGTATAATATAGTGCGCTAGCCCCCAGTATAATATAGTGCGCTAGCCCCCAGTATAATATAGTGCACTAGCCCCCAGTATAATATAGTGCACTAGCCCCCAGTATAATATAGTGCACTAGCCCCCAGTATAATATAGTGCACTAGCCCCCAGTATAATATAGTGCACTAGCCCCCAGTATAATATAGTGCACTAGCCCCCAGTATAATATAGTGCGCTAGCCCCCAGTATAATATAGTGCACTAGCCCCCAGTATAATATAGTGCGCTAGCCCCCAGTATAATATAGTGCGCTAGCCCCCAGTATAATATAGTGCGCTAGCCCCCAGTATAATATAGTGCGCTAGCCCACAGTATAATATAGTGCGCTAGCCCCCAGTATAATATAGTGCACTAGCCCCCAGTATGATATAGTGCACTAGCCCCCAGTATAATATAGTGCGCTAGCCCCCAGTATAATATAGTGCGCTAGCCCCCAGTATAATATAGTGCGCTAGCCCCCAGTATAATATAGTGCGCTAGCCCCCAGTATGATATAGTGCGCTAGCCCCCAGTATGATATAGTGCACTAGCCCCCAGTATAATATAGTGCGCTAGCCCCCAGTATAATATAGTGCGCTAGCCCCCAGTATAATATAGTGCGCTAGCCCCCAGTATAATATAGTGCGCTAGCCCCCAGTATAATATAGTGCGCTAGCCCCCAGTACCCTGGTCAAAAGGAATCAACTATTTAGGCTGCATTTACACAGGCAGCTGGATTCTGATATTTTCCCCAATTATTGGCAAAAGAGCTAATCTAATTGATCAAAAGATGCAATTAGTTGGAAAAAGACTGGAATTGGGCTGGCTGCCATAGTGAATATGGTGCCGTTTCAAATGCAGTCAAGTGTATTCTATCCATTCAATCAGCAGGTTAACAAATCCAACATCTGTCTTCACTTCATATTCACACCTTAAGACAGTGCATTCGGAAAGTATTCAGACTCCTTCACTTTTTCCACATTTTGTTACGTTAGACTTATTCTAAAATTGATTAATTAAATACAAATATCCTCATCAATCTACACACAATACCCCATAATGACAAAGCAAAAACAGGTTAAAAATAAAAAAGAAATACCTTATTTACATAAGTATTCAGACCCTTTGCTATGAGACTTGAAATTGAGCTCAGATGCATCCTGTTTCCATTGATCATCCTTGAGGATGTTTCTACAACTTGATTGGAGTCCACCTATATAAGGTCCCACAGTTGACAGTGCATGTCAGAGCACAAACCAAGCCATGAGGTCGAAGGAATTGTCCGTAGAGCTCCGAGACAGGATGGCGTCGAGGCAAAGATCTGGGGAAGGGTACCAAAAAACGTCTGCAGCATTGAAGGTCCCCAAGAACACAGTGGCCTCCATCATTCTTAAATGGAAGAAGTTTGGAACCACCAAGACTCTTCCTAGAGCTGGCCGCCCAGCCAAACTGGGCAATCGGGGGAGAAGGGCCTTGGTGAGGGAGGTGACCAAGAACCCAATGGTCACTCTGACAGAGCGCCAGAGTTCCTCTGTGGAGATGGGAGAACCTTCCAGAAGGACAACCATCTCTGCAGCACTCCACCAATCAGGCATTTATGGTAGAGTAGCTAGACGGAAGCCACTCCTCAGTAAAAGGCACATGACAGCCCGCTTGGAGTTTGCCAAAAGGCACCTAAAGGACTCTGACCATGAGAAACAAGATTCCCTGGTCTGATGAAACCAAGATTGAACTCTTTGGACTGACTGCCAAGCGTCACGTCTTGAGGAAACCTTGCACCATCCCTACGGTGAAGCATGGTGGTGGCAGCATCATGCTGTGGGGATGTTTTTCAGCGGCATGGACTGGGAGACTAGTCAGGATCGAGGGAAAGATGAACGGAGCAATGTACAGGAGTGGCTTCGGGACAAGTCTCTGAATATCCTTGAGTGGCCCAGCCAGAGCCTGGACCAGAACCCGATCTAACATCTCTGGAGAGACCAGCAAATACAAGACATGAGAGAATTTGGGAAGGTTGAACACCAGACGGGCTGCGGCATTCTGGATGAGTTGTAGGGGTTTAATGGCACAGGCAGGGAGCCCAGCCAACAGCGAGTTGCAGTAATCTAGACGGGAGATGACAAGTGCCTGGATTAGGACCTGTGCCGCTTCCTGTGTAAGGCAGGGTCGTACTCTCCGAATGTTGTAGAGCATGAACCTACAGGATCGGGTCACCGCCTTGATTTTAGCGGAGAACGACAGGGTGTTGTCCAGGGTCACGCCAAGGCTCTTCGCACTCTGGGAGGAGGACACAACGGAGTTGTCAACCGTGATGGCGAGATCATGGAACGGGCAGTCCTTCCCCGGGAGGAAGAGCAGCTCCGTCTTGCCGAGGTTCAGCTTGAGGTGGTGATCCGTCATCCACACTGATATGTCTGCCAGACATGCAGAGATGCGATTCGCCACCTGGTTATCAGAAGGGGGAAAGGAGAAAATTAGTTGTGTGTCGTCTGCGTAGCAATGATAGGAGAGACCATGTGAGGATATGACAGAGCCAAGTGACTTGGTGTATAGCAAGAATAGGAGAGGGCCTAGAACTGAGCCCTGGGAGACACCAGTGGTGAGAGCATGTGGTGCGGAGACAGATTCTCACCACGCCACTTGGTAGGAGCGTCCGTCAGGTAGGACACAATCCAAGAGTGAGCCGCGCCGGAGATGCCCAGCTCGGAGA